ATTGGCGGCAGTTGCATGGTAAGTCGTCGCACTTGCATTCAGCCCAGTCCACTGCACGTTCTTGACATGCATTGCACTGGAGGATGAGCCGCGCTATATCACAAGGAGTAATCTTGGAGGTCCACCGCCGTCACTAATGGCACTAGCCGCTGAACCCTTAACACACGGTTCGTGCATTCGACTCTGAGGGTAGTCTGGGGAATCCGGTTTACTGACGTGTCAGAATAGGAGGAAGCGACTGTCTGGCGCTTTTCTGGATGTGTGGTGGTTATCTGACTGTGATGAAACACCTCTGATTCTTAATTCAGAAGAATCTGAACACAAACCAGTTTTATAATTATCGAACTATCTTTCGGTGCAGCCCTAGGCACCTCCTTCAGCGGTCAGGCCACTTCGGTGAGACTGACTTTCCGAGACCAAAGCCATCTAAGGAGACGGTGGGATATTGGTCTATATGTATGTGTGCGTCCTATGTAATAGCTGAGCACTGAGTAGTTTATCCGTGTGAGGGGTGAAGTTTCGTTCACTTTCTGCAAACCTGTTTGATCGCTTGTGTGTGCTTCTGAGTGAGATATTTCCATTAACCACTGTGAACAATGAATTTATACGGGTTAAGAAGCGTTGCTTTACAAGCCCCGTTGGATAGTTGGTGGGGATATCAACATAATAATTATGATGAAAAGGATAGTAAAATAGTTAACACTTTAAATACGAAAATAAGGACTTATCGTTTGCTTCGCTGCAGTCCTGCGATCCACTTAGATTCACAACACCCACAGTTAACAACAAATAATTCCAGGGTAAACTCCAGGTGTAGGATGGAGACATAGTGTTAAGTAACAAAGTGTAAGTGGATGAGTGCATCGTCCAACCGTCTTTTAAATATAGTTAGTGTCGGTGCAGAGACGACCGATTCTGGGAGAGCATTCCACGGGTGACAGACACGAATGGAAAAGAAATTTCTGCGGCACTCCAGACGACTGTATTGTTCTGCGAGTTTTAATGAGTGGCCCCTCAGGTTTGTATTGCTGCTGAGTTGCAGTAAAGGGCGGCACACATGATGTGGGTCTCGCAGAATCAAGTATGTCATAATCAGGTCGCCTCGTAGCCTGCGATAGCTTCCACTGAACAATCCTAGTCGTCGCAGCCTCTCCTGGTAGGACAGATTGCGCATTCCAGTTACGTTCTTAGATGCCCGGCGTTGAGGCTGCTCCAGTGCGTTAAGGTCGTGTTTCAGCCATGGATGCCAGGCTTGAATTGCGTATTCGACGTGGGGGCGAACATACGCACTGAGCATTTGTCGAAATATGGAGCTGTTTATTTGTCCAAATGCCCGCCTCAACAGCCCAACGTGTTGATTCCCGGTCTTCGAGGCCTTTTCGGATTGCCTGGAGCAACCCAAGTCATCTTGAACCAGGACACCCAAGTCACGTTCGAGAGTTGATTGTTGCAGTACATCCGTTCCGAGTCGGTATGAGTAGCTGCCCTGATGTCGGATGGAAAGCACCTTGCATTTACTGACGTTGAAACGCAATAAGTTTTGGATCGACCATTGATACACTGTATCTAAATCACTTTGGAGCACATGTTGGTCGGCGTTCGCCTGGATCCTGCGCCAGATCTTGATATCGTCGGCAAACATTAGGAAGTTTGAAGCGATTCCCTGTGCAAGGTCATTAATAAACACCAGAAACAAACGTGGACCTAGAACCGAGCCTTGCGGCACACCACACTCGACTTGTATGGGGTCCGATAAAGAGCTCCGAACTCTGACCACTAATTGCCTTTGAAATAGAAAGTTGGCGACCCAGCTTAAAAGAGGGTCTCCGATCCCGTAATGCTGTAGCTTGGATAGTAGTATCCGATGGTCTAGACGATCGAAAGCCTTGGAAAAATCCAGGTAGATCACATCAACACCTTTTCCAGCGTCGGCTGCCTCGGTCCAACTACTGCGTGCAATTAGTAAATTAGTTGTACATGACCGCTGTCGACGGAAACCGTGCTGTTCAGGAGTGATGAGGTTGCTGTTTTCCAGATAGCACACCAGTGCATCGGCAACTATAGATTCCATGACCTTGGATAGTATAGGAAGAAGGGTTACTGGGCGGTAGTTGGAGGGATCAGATCTGCTTCCACCTTTGTGAATCGGGCTTATTATTCCAAGCTTCCACATGGCGGGAACTTGGTTCTGGTCTAAGCAGTGCTGGAAAAACTGAGCTAAATGTCCTGCCAGTTGGTTTGCTGCTACTCCCAATGCCTCAGGACGAATGGCGTCGACACCCGGCGAGCTGTGTTTGCGTAGAGAGGTCAGCTTTTGCAATACAGCCTCTGCGGTAAAACTGACGTGGGTCTGACCAATCTTCGCGCTTGGCAATGACGCGATGTAGGACTTTGAAAATCTATGTTAACGATCCTACTATCCTCCTAGTATTGTGGCTATGGGGCCATATCCAAATGCGCGCCGGATATTTACAAGCTATATGCTGCGGTAAGTCAAAATTTCGATTGTCCTGAGTCGCAAACACAATACAAGCGGAACGGATACACGATCAACATATACCAACTAAGACCAAAACAACCTAATCGTCTCAAGAGTTTCTGTACCATAAGCAGCAACGCCTCACTGATTTACAAGTTAGCTGTCTTCGGAAATTCAACGAACCGCGATAGCAACACTCGTTCTTCAAGTCAAACGGAATTGTCTAATCCATGAACTCAGTCAAGTTTCTAATGACTACAGTTGCCTAAACATTAACGCACTTGGTTTGTCTGAAGAAGTGGACAAGTTAAACATATTATGTGAGGTCCATCAAGTTAAACATATACTTGAGATCGAAGCTAAGTGTGGTCAGTTTTGGTAAAAATGCCAAGCGAACGGTGCATAACACGCTCCAGAGCAGGAATGGGTGGTGGATTCGTTGCAGAAAATGTCCACTGCAGTCGCCTATGCTTTTCTCACATACATCACGATATTTCCGATTCTTCTTATCGGTTTATCGTTCAGTGCAAACAATCCATGCGGCGCTCGGCAGAAAAAGTTCAGATCTGACTCGAGTCGTCGCATGTTCAGTGACATCAATCGAGACCAGCACGAAATTATAGATTTCCGTGATGACGCTGATCATGAATTTATCTTTTTTACCAACGATATAATGTCAATGTCGGCTCTCTTTCGAACTAACATCTAAATACAAAACATGGGATGCGAGTTTGTGTGGTATGACACTGCGACAGAACATTTTGACGGGAACAAATTGTAGTAGTCCGAGCCTTATAGATCCGTGGAGATCGGACTCCTGAATCACATCTTTTACCTTTCGCTACTGCATACTATAAGACTTCGCGCCGTTTGTGGACTGACATTGCAGACTCGTTTAAATGTGCATGCGCGGTGCAGTTCTAGACATTGGCTGTTCTAGTAACTAAGTAAACAGTCTCAAGAATCTGGTGAATGCGCGGCGCCCACTGGCATCACGTCGTGTGCGTTCAACACACTATGCCTACTATTTGGCAGGTTTCGTTCGCATATTAGGTCCTCCAGCAGATAATATGAGCACTTCTGTGGACATATTATCATCAGAGATGACGCAGTGGCTGGTCCGAGACAACTCAACAGAAGCGAGGTGAGGGTATTAGTGGAACAGGTGTTTCCGTAGCAATCTAGAGGCGCAGGTTGTTTGGGGAAGTGAACCAAGCCGCGAGACGGAGCTGTCCATTTCGTGCCAGTGTATTATGAATCACACCTGCTATATGATAATGTACAATATCCCTCAGGTTTTGCGCATTTTCACGTCGATTTACTTGATCGTAAGTTAGCATACTGCCAATACACCTGATATAGTCGTTAGCATTCCTGACGCGTTTCGCAGACAGGTCACTCCCTGAGTGTCATGGCTCATGGGGGTGCACGCAGTGGCTATGTTAATCCCCCATGACTACCGTGGGCTATCTATTGTCGTTGGATTCGCAAACTATCCATTTCTCCGTAATCGATATTCATTGATTATGAAGCCTGTAGACAGCACGGCCATCAGATGAGCAGTCCCATCACCCTTAACGGGAGCATAGCAACGCACTCGTCATCGTGCTGATGACGACGTCGAATGGGTTATGCGCGTCACCGATTGACTGGAAGCGTACTGTCACATGCTTTACGTTCATTCCCGTGCATATCTGTTATGGCAGCGCAAGATGAGAAGGTCTACCCGATACCGCCACTTTCATTATTGAACCCAGCAGACTTTAAATCGTCACAATGAAGGATGAAATAGTAATCCCAAATGGCCATGGTCCAACCATCGCCCCGCGCGTGTGATTGGTAGATATGTTTCTTCAAATTTCGCAGACATCAATCACGGATCGGATGCTGGCAGGATGCTTCTACTATCTTTTAGAGTAGGTTGGGTTGTGATGGTCCCTCAAGCGAATCCACCTACTAATGAAAAGAAGGCGGCCGGTTCAGAACAAGAAATCATGATTCCCATTTGTATGCTTACCGGTCTTACTCAATCTTGTTTACACTAGGTATGAGGCATGTGTGTAATGCAGTGTTAGTCGCCCATAGTACGTCTGTGGGCGCATGCGCCTAATGATTGTTCACAGTCACGGTAAGGAGTAAGCTTGCAAGTAAACGCTGCCCTCGTACTGGTACTACTTAGAGCGAATCGGTCCCTGAACAGCACTCTGACGTCATAACTGAAAAGCGACTACACATTAGCTGAGATGCACGTCGATATCCGTCAAATCCCTCGCCGGCTAAAGCTCGGGATCTTCCGAAGTTGAAACCGGAACCATCAGCGGAAGTCGCTTGTTGTGTCCGTCAACGATACTCGTCGTTGCGGACAAAATAAGGTCTGCACTTAAGTGGTATGCCAAGGCAGTTCTTTGATCGATGTGCAACAGGTAGGCGCGTGTATTGGACTCTGAAGTTGTAGAAATAAACAGTGCTCAAAAAGCTAGAAAAATGACGATCGGATTCAACAGGGCGAAAATATCCAGTAGACTGAAACCCAGACAAGACAAAATCATCTTTTATCTTTCGTAGCAAACATTAACAACCAGTTACAAGTTATTAAAAACTTTTTCTTAAATCCATGGCGCAATCACGCAAGCTGGCAACGCTGTCGTTTGAGAAAACTTGGAGAGTTTGGATGACTTGTTCACGAATGAGGGTCAGGAAACCTGGAACAGAACAAAACGATACTGTAGTACCGACCAACTTTTGATGATAAGGGATAAAACAGGACTTCGCGAAAGTTCCGAGCCCAAATGCCATCCGTGTGCGATGAGTAAAGGAGTGACCGCAGGAGAAAACAGTTTAGCGAAGAATAAAAACTGGCAGAGAAACTCGTTCATATGTGCTTTAAGAACAAAGCTAATTAGTCTACTACTAGCTGGGTCACGGAGACTACGTTCACTGGACACGATCTGCTCCAACGTGATCGACTTCTTGGCTTAGAGTACGCCGAAAACAGTGCGTTTTCTGTGGCAGATACCAAACGTGCCAAATAGCAATGAACAAATTAACACTGACTGTCAGTTGTTTCGGGCTATGCTGTACCCCTTCGAAACGCAAGGTTCTTCTCCAAGATTGTCAGGGACCCACCGCGCCGACTTTTGGTAGTGGTCAGTTAGAAACAAGTATGTTGGCAGCCATATCAGCGCCCGTGCGATTGAAGATGAGATCATGAACCTTATAGCATAAGGTCGAGACGTTTTTGCCAATCACCACCAGCTGTGGCGCCGGCGCGACATTACTCGTGTCCTGAAGAGCAGAGTTTACAATGCAGCCGTGCGTTCAACCCTCCTGTACTGTTGCGAAACCTGACCCGTCAAGTCGGAAGATATAAAGAGACTCGTTGTGTTCGGTCATCGCTGCTTTCGCAAACTAACTCGTGTCTGGTGGGAGCACCGCGTGAGCAAAGAGCCTGAAGCAGGTTCAGGAAAAGCGAGTGAACCGCTCAACACCGTTATTCCACGCGCCAGGCTCCGACCGCTGGGCCACATGTTGCGCCGCGGGTGTAGATGGAAGAAGAGGCCAAACGATGACTTGGTCAAGAGCAATGAAGACCCTCACTTTGACCTTGGCATCAGTTGGCGTCTCCCGACTGCCGGGCTGGGGACCAAAGGACGAACATGTCTGTTTGGATACACTTATCGACATGGAGAGGAGCCGACCTCAATAGCGTTTGTGTTGTGAGTTTCTTAGTCCCATTCCATTTCTCTCCAATCACGATCTCTGCCTTGAAGCAGAATATGTTACGAAGCTGTATGTTGCCTGTTGTTTTTGTGTTCTATAATGTTCAATATCTCGCTTTTTCAAATATTTTATACTTTTGTACTGCGGCACAAGAGTCGAAGTGCGCTTCGCACCTTCAGCTAATGATCATAATTACTTGGAATATCTACATTTGTCCGGAAAGCGAATGTGCTTCCTTGACGTTCAGTCCCTCTTCACCAACATCACTTGGAACGAGACTGATGACTATCTATGCGAGTTTATCTCAAAACATGACGTTCAACTTCATCTCCTCACGAAATTATTGAAGAACATGCATACGAAACACCAAGCTTTACTTTCAAAGGAAAGCATATCGGCGGTGGGTAGCCTACTAGGCCTGTTGTTAACAGACATGTTCATGGGAATGAGCAAAGAAAAGGCAAATGACATCATAAGATTGGCAATTATGTATAACCGTTATGTTGATGATATGCTGCTAATCACCTATTCATATGTGGACATAGCGCATGCGACCGAACGAGACAAATGTCTTCCGTGTAAAAATGTTCCGATTACACTGCGGCCAGCTTTTTCCATCGGATGGTATATCCACGAAAAGCCAAGCTGGACTTGAGAGCATATCTAGTTTACGATTTTCTTCCCAATTCAACATAAACGCTCTTTCGTTCGGACACTCTTCTATCGGGCCCATCTGCACACCAGACAACCTAGAAACAGAAAGAGCCACTGTTCAATACGCTACATTCCAATGGTTACCCGTTTCAGTTTATTAAGCGCCTCAGTGAAACGACAAAGTGAGATCGTGAGTCAACAGTCGCAAAGAAGCCGACCTTCATCAAGCTACATTTCAAAGATGACCAGGTCATAAAGGTCACTGAGAAACGAATAAGTGCTCCACTAAAAAGCGCGTACAGTGTGGCGAAACTGCAGCTGCTCACGTCGACAAGACCTGTGCTTGTGTCAGATTAAGACACAGACGATGAGGCAGTGCATGTCCCATTGCCCATACAAAATCACCTGTAGTTCCGGACGCGCACTGACCGAAGTCTAGGTGTTTGAATCAACGAACATATCCAAGTGGTTACGGCCCGCCCGTAGCCTTAGGGACCACAAGCCTGCCTTGTAATCCGAGGGCGCGGGTTCTAGCCTGCGTAGAGACCGGAAGACCCTCACAGTATCCTTAGCGCACATTCGACTGGTGGTGGTTGTGGGGTGGCGAAGCGTCGTTACTGCGCACCGGCGTATTGCTGGTGCCTTTTAAAGTGGTTACGCAGCCAGATAAGATATATGACGGCGGATTCAGTTGAATCGGAAACCGAGCTGCTTCGGCATGCACAAAGCACTTGCTTACAACCGGGCGCTGAGTCAATCCTGATGAGTCATTCATGGTCCTAATGTGTGGTCGATGGCCCTACATGCTTAGGCTACTGGAGGCCATCGTTAGCGATCACGAGTGGCCATTGCTGCGCATTTAAAAACAACTGACTCTGGCTCTTTAAGCTACCATGGTAGCTCAAGCATTTGGCTAACTACGATCTCATTTGACAGTGTTTGTTTGCCTATCATTGTTGCATGTATGTGATTGATAAGAATGCACGAAATGGTGACGTTATCTCACAAACTACGTCTTCTGATTTTCCTCTTCAGAATTATAAAAGAAATTTGTTTCATACTACTACTATGTCTGTAAAGACGCAAACAGATAAATTAGTTTCAATTAAGGATGAGTGATGCTGAAGTCATGGTGATCGGATTTCAGACCTACGTCTGGAGCTCACCTGAATGCCTTAGGATCGCTGCGATGCATCCAAGAGCATGTTCTCGCAGAAGTTGAGACTTTTGGTTCCCTGCGGCTCGTTTGATTCGAGAGAGCAGATCTTTTAAGCTCAGCTCCAGAGCATCTTTTGTGCATAACATTGACTTTTCCGAATATTCGACTAGATTTTTGCTCTGCCCAGGTGTGAGCCTAAAATCAACAGGTGATGATACGTTTCATGGAATAATGAAAAATAGAAATACTGCACCTTCAGTAACATGAACAGCTGCGAAAAAGAACCACACAAAGAATGAGTGTGCTCTAGCAAATCAGTAGGCCATATAAGTTAAAACCGTTAGAATTGATCACTACAGAGCAGATGTTTTAGCATTTGTTGTCCATTTCACGCTTCTACAAAACCCTAGGCAAAGTGGTCACCTAGTGACGGGATCACCGGATTATCCATGCTTGAGTTCATCATCAAACAGTACAATTAGCAAGATATTAATATTTCCACTATCTGAACCACTGGTAGCTTAATGTGGAATTGTTGAGTCGCCAAAGTTTTGGGGAGCTGAAGAACAAGCGTACGTAGCAGACAAGAGGATCCTGGTGCTAGTAAGTCATCGAGTATTCAGGGAATGAATATGGGCTAGTTTGATGAGAAATCATTTCCTGACCAACAATATAGCTACGGAATTGGAATAGTATATGCCGTGATATATGTACCCGACCTCCCCTAGTGGGCAGTTTCATGATTGTAGATAAAATAGTTGTCGTGTTCATGACACGAAGTCCCACGTTAATCAACGTGGAGACACAACACAAATCTTTTCTTGATACTACTGAGGAATTGCCTGGTGAATGCAATGACTTTACGCCGTGGACTGCGGAGAGTTGATTATTTAGAAAGTATGGTGCTGTACCACAACGCTGGTATTTTTATGTAAATTCGAAACAAAGATTTAAAGTTGGAATTGTGTGGTTGGATTGCGACACGCCATATTGAAATCTCTGTCATTCCGATCACATGGACCCCATGACTGGATTCGTCCTCTGTTGGACTCATCAGATGGAGACAGCATGAGCTGGAGTGAAACTCGGGGCCTAGTGGTTAATGGTTGACGCCTTGATCACTATGCCACTAAGATCCGCGAGCAACGCTTGGGGTGTCAGTGTTGGAAGGAGCAACACCGAAACACTTTGAAGCAGAGATGATAAGACAAGTGAGTGCAACTCGACTGTTTTAAACCCATCATAATGATCCACCGAATTAATTAACGTGTAGATAATAATGAAATGACTATTAAGCCGAAGAAAGGATTCTGGGGAAGCTGAATCCCGAATGTTACTAACTCAGAGCATTGTTACTTATCACAAACAAATGAATTGGAATAGCTAATTCTTACTTTGCCAGTATTCCAAGAACGCTGGCCAGACAAGCTGCTTGAACGGAGCAGTTGCCATGTAGCATGACGAAATTCAGGAGGGAAATGGTATCTGGGAACCGAGTCACTGAAACGGATGAACGAAGAGAGAAGCATGCGGTAGACAGGCGATCGGTTTCAAATAGCCAGACAGCAATTATGGAAACTGTCACGGAGGCACGTGTGAACAACGCCTTGCATATGAGATGCAATCTGAGGTCCACAAGACAAATAATGGGCATTCTTTAACCAAGCCATCATCTAAGTGTCTGGGCCAGTTAACTGACAGTTACAACGTAGTTCGTATGGAAATATGGCTTTCAATCACGCTTATAATAAAAGTGACAAAAGCTGGCACAGCTAAAAATATAGCGTGTTGGAGTTAATTATCATCGGATAAAAACGAAGACAATGGGATATTGTCCACACGAAAAATGTGTATAAGGTATACGCAGACGACGATAAAAGTGTGCCTAAAGAAACTAGTAACTGTCGTAGCATCCTAGAGCATCGTCTAACTAGGAACCCGAAGATCGATACGAATCGTCGGAAATCGTGGGGAGCACATTAGATGGAAACAAACTGATGCTGTTCTAATCCCCTCGTCTTACGAGTAAGAGAGAAACTATTACCAACGTTGATAGAGAAATTCCCATTATTAAACTCACCAGCTCGAACAGTGCTGATAACTTAGTAAGCGACTTACTCCAGCAGCCGTTATCATTTTATTCGAGACACCTGAAACTATCAAACAGCCTGTGAGATCCGGCACAAGCTCCTGAAACTTTTATCATCTGCTCCCAATCATGCTCCAAAACGGTAGCGGCTCACTGATGGTTAGAGCATTCGGTCTGTTAAATGCCGTAGTGCTTTTGACAGGGGATGAGTGTCATTTTGTAACTTAAAAAGGTTTAAAAACGCCTTATGAAAATCACGGAATAATAAGCCGAGCCAAGTGGAAGCGCGGGGATTTGCCGAAAGCTCCAATAAACTGTTCTACTTAGCCGTTCCCACATAACCGTGTGATCGAAATTAGAACAGGTCATATTTATCTACTTCCGAAGGCATTCGTGAGGTGGTCCTCAATGAGGTAATCACGGTATGAGACTTATTATTCTTCTTTTGATTTTTAAAGCTGAAATAATTGTCTTGCCTACTATCTCCGTACGAAAAGATCTATCGGGTGGATAACAAAAAGACATCCCTTAGGAAATGCCTAGCCGCTGAATATATATATATATGCCAAGTTTTGGTATTTGCCGGTGGTGACTGCATTGAGAGCGATGTCTCTTTCTTACTGTAAGAAAATAACCACTGAAAGTGGCGGTATGAGTAGAGAGCTGTATCACTCTCGGTAAGTAATTGAAGGACCTGATGCGTGGATTTTAAAGCCCATGCCGCTTTTCAAAACATTGATGTGTTCAGCTCGGTTCGATTGGACAACTATGATCTGGGTGCCGAACCGAGATAGATCCGGTTGACACGACTCGCGTCGCCATAATAACAATAAATAACGACGATAAGAGAGGAGGTCGAATGCAAATGGAAAGCAAAGAAAATGAAATTCTGAAGTGTTAAACTAATTAGGATGGAATGAAAATTAATAGCTAGATTCCAGAAACCGAAGACACGAACGCCAATGACTGCGCGACCGCCCAAAGTCTGATAGTCTCCAACAACTGATGCGTACCATCCACGAAGACAGCACGCACCAGTCTGACCAAGTCTCTCGGATAGTTTCTTCATGCCCTTATGCTACGTCATAGACTGGCCACCTCGCGGTTTTGCGCAACTTGGTGTAACCACTGCACGCCGAGGAAGCTGATCAACGGGCATACTGAGGACATGACCCAGCCAACGTAAGCGGTTAAGATTCAGCAAACATTCGAGTGAGGCACCAGAAGACTACTTGACAAAAATCAACTGATGAACCTTAGCATTGCTCACTCAGTATTCCCACCAGATGTGGGCGATACTCCGTAAGCACCGATGGACAAACACAGCCCAGTGTTTAACGTCTTCACTGCGAGCTGAACAGGTCACTCATTTAAACTGTGACGCCAGCCTTAGCGCAGCGTTATATACCCTACGTTTCACTGACAGAGTGATATCCCGCTGTCTCCACATTTGGTTGAGTTACTGCAAAGCCACACGGACTTTGATGATACGCGCAGTAACTTCAGTGATGTAAAAACCAAAGGCGACACATCCATCAATGTAAGTGAACTGATCCACCACTTCTAGAGGTTATTCGCCAATGGCTAAAGCCGGTGGGATATTGGTCCGGCCTTGCAGCAATACCTTGCACTTCTAAGATGCATAGCACATGCCTATGTGTGCGGCGCTACGCGTCAGTTTGTTGGGTAGTGCTTGCATAGCCACTATATCATCCGCATACCCGAGGTTGGTCACCTGAAAGAATTTCCACTCTGAAAAAGTCAGAAAGAGTCGAGTCATTAAAGATCATTTCGATCACAAGGATGAAGAAGAAAAGAGATATAGGACAACCCTGGCGAACTCCACTTGTCGTGCATGGGCTCAGGAAGCAGCCTCCATAGACCATTACCCAGTCTCCGGCGTCACGAGAGAGACATGAGAATGGAAAGGAGTTTTTCAAGCACTCCCTTTACTGATCAACAGTCGGTTGTTTGTGTGTCTGCTCTAAAACTTGGCGAAGAGTAAATATGTGATCGATGTAACCACGACCAGGGCGAAAGCCAGCCTGACTTTCAATGATTCGGGTCTCTCGAGGACCAGCAAGTCGCCGAAGAATGATACCCGTGGTTTTTGCACAAAATACGTTGACCCTATTTAAAGATGGAAAAGACAACTAACAGTTGCCAGTTCAGTCAACAACGATTCTCCTCTATCTGCCAGTAAAGATAGAGGAAGGTCGTCGAATGTAAAAGCCTTGTTTCGTGTCAGCACGGCGAGCTAGTGACCAGTTTCTTCCAAGTGAGGGATGTGACATCAAGTTTCCACGTCGGCTCAGTTAATTCAGTAAACAGCAGTGTCGCACCAGGCCTGCTGAACTGCTGTTCAAAATATTCCGTCCAAAGGGCTAGTCAACGCGGCTGAGAATGAATCAATTGTCCATCTTTTTCGGTTTTTGTCTAACCAATGGTTTTCTTGAGCCCGTGTTGCGAATGAGTTGGAACAGCACTCGGCTTTTCCCATCTCACAGACTATTGCCAAACACCAACGTTCCCGGTCAATACGAAGACTCACTGTCAGTCGTCATTTCACGGTGTAACAGACACACTGAAACTCAATGCCCAACAGAACCCTTTTGGTTGCCTCGATCAATCGGACTGAATCACAGTTCGGACCACTGAAATTCAGCGGACACCAGGCGTCAAAGACATTCTTCATGTCACACTTAAGACGATTCCCATGAAAATTCGGCTGTCCAACTACGTCCATCATTGACAATTGATGGACCAGTTCGTCATGATATTGTTGAATTGCAGACTGCGAGTTCGTTACAAGTAAGGAGCTCAGAAGTTTCGCGCTTCTTTGAAACGGGAACAGTGAGCGCCAGGCGTGCGGGCACTACAGCATGGCCGGAATCCAGGCATCGTTTGAAATTGACCGCCAGTCTTGGAATAATATGCGCAATCTGTACCTGATGGCAATATGTTCAATTTAGGTCCAGGTCATTTAGGAATTCGGTGAATGCCATATGACACGATGTGAACATTTGTACTGGAAAGCAATGTTGATAATATGATTGTAGCTAGCGCACAGTTGCAGGAATCGATCACCACTGTCTATTCGGCATGCATGCAGCCCGAGGCAGCCTGCCAGGTGTTGTCCAGAATCTGAAAGAAGGCACACTTGGGCATTCAGGGCATCAGCAACAATCACGATGTCAATATTCTTCGCCATTCGACAAAAGGATGGGAGCCGAAAATAAAATTTGTCTTAGATACCCTCCGAACTGCAATCCGAAGGGGCATAAACGGAAGTGATGAAAAGGCATCTTGTCTGCAAACAGTACTTAGTAACCGCAATAGAAGTTAGAAGTCGAAACGAAAACATGAGACTGTTCGCTGGCACCCAGTCAAGTAGATTACCTTCAGCATGCTTGTCGATGGAGATACCGACACCTTTAATAGCTTGAACCATTCACTATCGCCAGAGACATGAAGAGTGTAGTCATCGTCGTCAGATCCAAAATCAGTGAGTCTAAGATTCGTCACAGCGCTGTTATTTTGTATGCATATTTCGAAGACAGCACACATCAATACTAAGAGAATGGAGAATGAGATTTAGCGATACCTGTTGGACAATCTGACCCAGAGTGCAGAGGTTAAATAAACAATTTGTTAAAAGCACCCACAGTTAAGTATACATTTGCATAACGGTTATTGCCAATGGTACTGAGGAGACAATACGAAATGCATGCATCTACCAATTTTGGTCTTCTTACAGTGCTTTTCAAAATTTAGTCTCGAAAATGCGAGGCATCCCTGCACAGACATGACCATAAACTGTACAAATTAGTCACAAATTTGCCGGTAAAATGATGGGTGGATATATATATGGATATATATGGTTGGCGGCATCCGGTTTCGGATTTGCCTGTCACTGTGGTCAGCCACAGGACGCCTGCGCCAACAGAGGGACCATGGATGGCTTGCGCTGCACCACCCACAGCTCTATCCACACACCACATATCCAGTGTAAACCCGAAGGAATAAGACCGGGAGGCATGCGGATGGGAGCCATGTTTCATCAACGGAGCCGGCCCACACTTCTTCACAGACAGACACAAGCACGCTGTGTTTGGGGAATCAAATGCACACAAGGCGGGGGCTGGACCGTAGTCCGCTCCACACTGAGTGCATGGAACCACTCTTCGAGCCTAGCACGACCACAAGGACCGTGCACCCCGTCCCCTCCAGCAACCACCAACTGTCTCCTAGAGCCAGTATGGACGTGGTGGTGTGTAATAGACAGATTAGCACCTTGTCAACATGCATATCTAGCGGAGCCACACTTGGGATGTCAAACAACAGCCAATCATTCGAAATGCCGATATCGATTAAAGTAAACACATAGGACGACATAAATACTCGCTAAATG